TCCTCTGAGTTGTTCACTGATGTGCAAATATAGCTTTAAATGACTTCTCTAGGAAAGAATCCTCACTATTTTATACAAATTGTCTTGCATGTTTATTACACAGAATCATGATCCAAAAAGAAGGGGATCCATCCCATGCCTGTTCGTAACTCTGTTACACATTATGAGCTGAACATACTCCAGGCCCCCTCATATGATGAATGATACCTACTTCACTTCCAGCCTGCTCCCATGTGCTTATTTATTTATGGGGCCTCAGTGTTGATGGATATGCTCCCAGTTCCTCCATGAGACTGAGCACATCACAGGCACTGGGCTGCAATAGGCAGTTCAGGGAGGGAGCAGTAAAAGATAAAACTCTGTTCCTGACCTCACCACTGTGCAGAACTCCCCAGGACTTCTCCAGAACTGCTGCACTTCCCACTGACACTGTTCCCAACAGCTGGCAGTTTCTCCACCACATTTAAAGCCCTTTTTCCTGCCCCTTGACTAGGAGCAGACACCAGGCTGGACTCAAGAGCCGTGCCGGTGCATGGATGCCCACCCGCCCTCTCCAGGAATGCTGTGCCTGGGAGGTACCACGGGATGTCTCCGGCTGTATTTAGCTTGGCTGGCTCGGCCAGCCCATTCCACTGTCTGCACAGCCTCGGGGAGAGTGGAAGGAAACAATGCACTGCCCAGCCAAGCAAAACACGGGGAGGTCAGAAGCTGCCGCACGGCTTCTTGGAGATGACACATGCTCCCGAGGCAGGTCCACTTGTCCCCTGGCACAGGAGCATCCTGCAGAGCCCTGCACTAACACCACAGCTCCCAACCCTGGCTCCTCACACCTCCCTCCCGGGGATGAGATTTTGTACCCTGGGTGGGAGGAAGGTGCTGGAATGTGTAGTTCCCGTTCAGAGCATAGCCCCTATTCCCCTGCGCTGTGGTACCTACAGCTTCAGAAATAATCCAGTGTTCATTACCTTGTCAAATTAAGAAATTGAGAGCTGTCAAAGTGTAGCAAAGATAGGAGGTGGCTTTAATAGCCAACTGTGGAATCTCCCACTGTTTGTCTAATCTAATTTCCTCATCCTCGTTGTCCTAAAAGAATCATTACAAGACACGGAGAAGTAGAGGGATGAAGACAGGAGCAATTTCCAACTGAAGGCACCTTCCCCTTCTGTGTGTGTGCAGATGAGAGGCTTCTATAAGCTGTGTGGGATCAATAATTTCCCTCTGTCAGGTTTACGTTTCAAGACAACTCTTAAATTTCATCCCCTCTGGTTAATCTGCCATAGAAAGAATATAAAAATAAAAATATTCCTTTGTCTGGCAGCAAACACTCCTGTCTCCCAGCACTAGCTTTAAGAAGGCAGTGCCAGAGAGAGCAACATGTGGCACATCTCAAGCCCCTTCAGCTGAGATAAAGCCTTAGAGGAACCAGCTGCTGTGACAGCAGAGGGTGAACAAGCTGTCCAACAGCAGCAGCATCCAACAACAGCAGCAAAACCAAATAAATTAATAGTCAACAGTGTCTCTGCTGGGGAAGAAAAGGTTAAAACTGTGCCAGCAACTGGTTGGAGACAGTCTTTTGAGGCAAAGCTGCCTTCCTTGCCTGCTAATTGTTATGTTTTCCAAAGATTTCATCAACTAAGTTGTGTTCAACAAACTGCTATTTAATTACTAGAGTAAAATCCTGTTAATTAGCCAGCCCCAGAAGACATCCTCTCATCCCTGTTAAGTGAAATTCCCAACTAATCCCTCCAGCAGCCATTGTGTTGCAGCCTGGAGAGCCCCAGAGAGCAATTAGTGATGGCCATAAAGGTGGGGGGAGCATCAGAGCTCGGCTCCCACCTTCTGCCAGTGGCTGTCTTCAGCCCTGGGAAGGTGCAGACCAGCACAAGGGTAACACTCAGAATTAAAAAACCTGTTCATTCTTCTTACTAATCCATGGCTCTCCTTCCTGGCTCCCGTTGCCCAGGTGGCTTCAACCACAGTGTGGCCAGCATCTCCTCTTCCCCTGGGCTGCATCCCCTTCCTTCCTTCCTTCCTCTGTGCAGTCCATGCCTGAGCCCATGCAAGAGGCAGGCAGTGCCCCTTCAGCTCCACACCACCCTCCACCTAGCACCAGCAGCATCCAAGCTTTCCCCAGCAGGATGCAGTGAGCACTTTTACAAGGTGCTACAAACACTTCTAAACCAGAGCTCTCCTCATCTCACCTGGCTTCCCAGGTGCATCAAGGATATGAAGTTTCCACAAAATTCACAAAACAGCCTGGATAAAAGTGACAAGTGCTCCAGCTACAGAAAAAGCTTCAGCCTTTCTGGATAGTGCCCAAAGGCACCATTCCAGTGTGGGAGGGATCAGACAGGGCTTGTTCCCACCCCAAAAGGGAAGCAGATTTCTTTCATTTAGCTAGTCTGGAGTTTCTTTGCAGTCTGTCACCATGGAAGTTAAATGTTTTAATTTTACATTGAAATGCCAGCAGAAATTAAATTTGATAGGAAGTTGTAGGCACTTCTCTGATATCCATTTAAACAATTTAGATGATTTTGAAGTACTAGGGGGCTCATTTAATCAAGTTCAATAAAGCAAATCTCCAGGTGAAAATAATGAATATTTAAAAGAGTATAAAAATTAATTGTTCAACATCATTTGGTATAAATACATCCCTACAGATGTAGGGATGAAAGGATAGTTCAAAAATTCTACTAAGTCTTAAAATCAATATTTGCAAAATCTTAATATGCAATTTGTCATGTTCCTGTGAATTTGCACTGCCCAGTTTGATCTAAACCCAATCTTGGATTGTGGCATAAGAATAAATTAATTTTCGTTGAAAAGATATCCATCAACTCTTATTCTAAATAATGCTAACAACTACCGTCAGAATTAAGGCATATGAAAAAAACAGAATCCCTGATTTTATAAACTAGGAACTTAAAAGAATGAAAAATTTACAATTTGAAATATGGATCTTGATAGTCAGCCTGTAGCTAGCTACCCTACCCTACAGCTAGAATGTTGTCTCTAAGTCTTTACCCAGTGTTGAAGCAGAGAGGTCTTTAATATTAAAGAGGCACACAAGGCAACAACATAAACATATTTGCCTGCAGTTGGATGAGTAAAGTAATACCTTAAACTGGAAAGTTCCAGTGACATCACCAGATCAGCCCCTTCTGCCAGCAGCTCCAACTCTACCGGAATAAACATCCATCCTGAAAACAAACCTGGGGAAGAAATAAGAGGCTGTGGCTTGTTTCCAAAAGTAAAAGGAAGCAGAGGGAGAGGTGCATGATTAATTCTCCATTAGTATTCCACTTACATTTCCTCCAAAGACAGGGAAATATTTCAAGTGAGAAATCTTGCTCATCAAGTAGTGGAAAACATTTCTCCTCACTGTGTTCTAACCTTCACTTCTCTGAAGTCACTTTTGCCCTCCATCACACAGGCCTGGAGGCTGTCCAGGTACATCCCTGCAAGTTATCCACTGGTACTTCACCCTTTTTCACTGAAAAAAAAAATTAATCTAAGAACAAAACAGACAGCTTTTAAGAGAGTAAGTTTTAATGTAAAATACACAGGTTTGAAAAGGCAGGACCGGTAACATTACATCTCAGAAAGCAATTACCGAAGCAGGACGCTTGGATTTTAGAAAATGTGTTTAATTAATAAAGCTCATTAACTACACAGTTTTAATCCATAAATACAAGTTAAAGTTGAAAGTACAAGATAAAGTTGTAAAAAAGTAATCTCAATAGTGTGTTACTTATTTTTAAATTTATTTGATTTTTATGGCTGCCTCTTAATATATTAAAGATGTAGAAATCAGTGCAACTTGAAGAGCTGCCAGCTCTTCAAAAACCTCTAAAGGATGAAGGAGTGTTCAGCAGAAGGTATGTTCATCTCTACCTTGTAAAAGGAACCAAATCAATCTTTGGTAGTTAAAACACCTCAAATAGTTAATATAGACAAACATTTAAAGGTTAACACTGTTTATATTCCTATTCAAGCTGTGACACAAATTTCTTTTCTGTATTTTTTGTTTATTTTAAAAAGGATACTTAGGAAGTTGAAGAAGTAGAAGAGAGCTTGAAACTACAACAGGATCTCTTTGCACTGAAGTCAGCAGCAATTCTGACACTGAACCAGTGGGTGCAGACACAGGCCTGACATACTTGAGGAAGTGGGAGAGATGGATCCAGTTTCTACAATTAATTAGAAATTATTCATGATACTTTTTCATGGATGTACAGAAAGGCACCATAAGAGAGCATATAATATAAAACCATGAATACCCTATCACCCTTAAATAAGAGGTGTTGAGTTTGCAGGGTTTCCTACTGAGAAATTTCTGATTCTAACCTGAACAAGGGCTCTTCTAAAATCAATACAATTAAAAGACATTAACATCGCCCTACACAGGGTTAGTTCCAATATAAATGTATTCTTTTTAATTGCTCATTTAAGGCACCCTTTTCTATTTACATTTACAGTATGTGCTGTTTTCACTGTAAGACCAGATTACACTGAACATTAGAATAAATGCAGTGCAATTTCTTTCTCTCCTGGGACAAAACCAGTGAGTAAATTTTAACATAGTAGGAATGTTTCATAGTGAAAATTGAAAACACATTTCCCCAAGCCAGAATTCCTCTATGTACAGCACATCTTGGAAAAGCAGCATAGCATCTCTGTATGTTTGCTTTTCACTAAGTACAGCACAGAAGAAAAAGCCAACTATCTTAAAGAAATGGAAACAAATACAGTCGGGTTGAACAAATAAGTGGCCAAAATATTTTTTTAAAGAAACAGCTAAGAACTAAATACACCAACTCAACATGAAGCAATGAATCATGTATTTAGTGGTCAAGGCAACTGTTTGGGTTTTTTTCATTATCAGTAGCAATAGGCCAGTTTGAAATGTCAGAAAGTCAAAAGGGTTAACCCCATGTAGCACTTCCACCATCCTCCTCCTTGTCCAGACCAGCTCAAAACACCAAATAACAACAAATGATCTTGGCATATAATGCATTCAATGCTTTCCACATCAGCCTTCAAAAGCATGGTGCTCTCTGTGGGCTAGGAAAGAGAGAAGGAAAAAAAATAATAGAAGAATATGTAAACTCTGTCAAGGAGTTGAAAAGATAAAAAAAAAAAAAAAAAAAGAAGATAAAACTGTATAAATCAGTCAAGGGAGGGGAGAACACAATGTGCCAACAAGGCATCTTTCAGAATACACTGTTTGATAATACATTTACAGGGAGCCTAAAATATGAGATCCCTTGAAATCCTGATTGCAACTGGTTCCTCTAAATTAATACTTAAATTGGACAGTATGTAGCCTCAAGAGTTATTAAGATATTTAATTTGTTTTGTGAATGAGGCACATTAAACATGATACAGAACAGATTGTACAATAAAATTAAACATATCTTTTGAATGATAGCTAACTTCTGTATTGAAGGGACATCATTTTAATGCAATGACAGATGCTACATTCCTAAGTGATTAATGATGAATCAGGTAGGATATTCCCATAGAAATACCCTACCAGCTTCTTGTTTTTCTAATGGAGGTAGAAATGAACAGTACAAAATACTTACATTTATAAAAAACCACTTTAAAAGATGTGTGTGGGAGAAGTTTATGAATCTTTTCTACAACTTTTGCTTCACTTGCTGAAGAGGAATTCCTGTTCCAGACTTGAACAACATCTTCACGGTCACGAACACTGACACTTACCCCTACTACTTCATCATCTGCACAGAAAGGGGGAGAACCATTAAGGAATACTTTAAAAGTGAGACATGTCTAATTTGCTACTTATGTATTATGAAACAGTGTCCAAAAGCTGGAAAAAAAATAAAGATGTGAAAGAAAAGAGAAATCCTCAGTGAGGAAAATACCAATGTTCAAAACAGACAAAGTAGTTACCAGAAAGAAACTCTGTTTTTAGAAGTTATTGGAAACATTACCTCATGGTGTTTTTTATGAGGTGCATAGGATTATTCATCTTTGCTATTAGCACTCTTAGACTTGATTAGAAGGGAATCACAAGACTCCCTCCACTAAGGTCAGCAATATGAACTCCCAAAGACAATTTACTTAGAGTGATGTCTATAAGCAGAAATGGGAGGATGAGGGTAAAACAACTAAAACTCCAGGAACAGTACCTGGTGGAGATCAGACACCAGCTTTTCCAGACTTTGCCCTCTTTTTCCTTTACATTTTGTCAAGGCAGCAACAGAAAAAAAAAGAAAACAAAATTAATGAAATTTAAAAAGCCTCAGTCAGGCTGCTGCTGCTGCCAGTGCTGGTAACTCAGTGCTACACTGAAGAAGCCCTTTTTGGTGTGAAGTTGTTAGGATGCAGCTTTGTGGAGAGCTCAAATGCCACGCCACAGCTGGGAGCAGTGGCTGATCCAGCTGTGAGCTCCATAGCACAGCTGTTCTGTGCATCCCAGGGAAAGGGTCACTAACAAAACACAAAGGTGGTATCAGAAGCACATTGCCAAAGGCAAGAACCACCTCTGTGGACAGCAAAATATCATATATTTGCTTAAAGTGACCCCAAGACAACCCTATCAGTGTATAAAGTGTATAAGAGACCATTTGAAGGGTTATTTCTGAACTGCTCTGTAAACTTGAGAAATGCCATTCTTTTTTTTGTGGAATGATAGCCAGTGAAAGACAATTCCTAACAGAATATTCACTGTCAGTGTAATAGCCACTTTTATCAGATATTCATGCTAAGGAGAGGAGCAAATTTGGTGAAAAGAAATGATGGAGAAATGTCTCAATCATTACCTGCTGCACAACAATCTGTAAATTGCTCTCCAATAGTTGCTAGCAGAAGCTCTTTCCAAACTGCAGCCTAAGAAGGCAGGAAAACATTACATTCACATTATTATTTCTTAAATGAAAAGTTAGGTTTGCTAAGTCAGTTCTGAGCGTCTTCTCTTTCTGAGGTTGTCTAGCCAAAAAGGAGTATTTCTTGTAAGTGCATGCTGTGTTATATAATTAATTGTTGGGTCTGTACAAGATGGTTCATCATAGCCAAGGAGATGCTGTGCCCACGTGTGGTGAAGACTGAAGGCAAAAAAATGAGAAACAGGTATAAAGGTGTTATTTATGCTATTTACCAAGCACTGAAAGCTGACTGAAGTTCACCTTCAAGCAAACCTTTCAGAAGTGACTGAGGCCATGTGGTGCGTAGTTTGAGAGATCAAAAGTACCTTCATATCAAAAAGGGGCTGTCATTCAGCCTCTGAAAAACAAGGCCTCTGGGGTCCCTAAATTCACTGCCCAGTAATTCAGGCTCTCCAAACCACTTGTCACTTCTGACAATCTTCACACCTTGGATTATAGGAGGAAAAAGACAATTTCAATTTCAGTCTTTTGTGACCACTTGGGACTGCGGGGGAGGAAAGCTGCAACTCATATACAAGGAAAAAGCCCACAGGCAAAAATCAATTAACTTTCAGCTGAAATTTTGAGTACCATCTTTCAGCATTTAATACCTTCTGCAAGGCTGTCACATTTTTCTGACACTTCACTTTTTCTGTTTAAAGGCCTGATCCAGAGCACACTTACACACATAAACACCATGTGTGAAGAGGTCAAATCTCCATTCTGTGGCAGTTCACAGAAGTTACTCACATGCATTTGATTAGAGGCAAAGAGAAACACAGTTATTCCATTAGAGCTCAAGGATATGCCTGAATAGATTTCATCTTTCATACTTTTAAATGAAAAAAATACATAATTTAGCATAGATTATCAGGAAAAGTCTTTCTATTTTTCTTTGTATGCCTATAAGGAAACAGTCTGGAGAACAAAGGTGATTATGAATTACCATGTTTCCAAATTGAAACACTGTAGCTTTCTTTTGTTTTATAATACAAACTTTCTTTTGTTATATAATACATTGCCAAATGTTATCTAAAGCAAGAGATATGGAATTACTGCAAAATAAACTTCTGCTCATTGTCTTTAAAAGGTTATGGAAGTTAAAGTAGTATTTGGTTGTTGTGTTGGGTGATGTAAGAAGTAAAAACCTTTACAACATCTTTATCAAGCAGAATTTAAAGAAACTCCCTTACTAAACAAGGTCTGAGTAAAGAGTCAATGTAACATACCGTACTTTCTTTGGGGACCTTCATTTTCCATATACCTCCTTTGGCATTGCTTTCTTCTTCCCTGTCACGGGAGATAGATCAGTGAAAATAAACATTCAAATTCACATCTAGATAGCCCTATGTTTGTGGTTTCATTTTCCCAGAAAAATCCCATCTGAAATGCAATTACTAACTCCAGGGAGCATGACTCTGACTTCTGACATCAGAGATAATTCTTTCATTGTTCATATGAAGTGTATCACTCAACACCTAACCCTTTTCAAGTTTTGTGTGTTGGAAAACACTTGTATTTTCCCTGACTACAGACCATCTTTGAAGTGGCTGCACACTGTACGGGAACAAGCCACAAAACAATTTTACATTTTACTATGGTAACCTTTAATTTTGGAAAACCTCTGGCATATTTTCACAGCAGCAGCTTTTTACTCTTCCGTTTATTCAATTTAATAAAAGAACATGAGCACGCTTCATTTCAGTTTTGTGACAGCTAGAAATTAATTGCCCTTATTAAAAAAAGACTGAAGCTGCCCTGGGTCGGAGCAACTGTAACCATTAAACTGCCTTGTAATGACAAAGGCACAATGCACTAACCTGTGAGTTTCTCAAGTTAATTCTGTCACAATTCTTTTTCTAAGATTTTAAATTAGGGCTTCTCGTTTCCTGCTAAAACTCTGTAAAGGCCAAATTAAAGGAATAACCTAAAAATTAGTCTTTGGAATATCTAAACGTTGTGAGACTGATAGAGATTCCTCAGGATCAATGGTCTCCCACCAATCCTGACAGATTCTGGGGAAAAGAGGGGGAAAACTTTGGGAGGACGTCTTTAAGAATCTGCATCCTCAATTCTTACTTCAGGATTTCTCTTTCTTTCTAAAAGAAAAAAAAAATACACAGAATTCTGGAATTGGCCACTATACTGTAATGGCAATCTGGGAAAAGCTTCTTGGCAGTAATTATTGAAAAGTTAGCAAATTACTGATAATGAGATCAATCTCTTGCAATCCCTTTCTTAAAATGTGAAATTACTTTGATAGGCTTTAAAAAGTGTTTAATTTTCAGAAATTATCTTTGCATTTTAATCCTCTAGTAGTCACTTAACAAATAAAAACTAAAAATAGGAAAAACAAACCCAAAAAAATCAAACCCCCAAATGCTCTCATTCATCCTTACAAAGATATGAAGGCCTGCAGATGATGGCCCAGTTGATTTATACAGATATCAATGTTTTTTCATGCCCACTTTAGCTATCCTGACCAGTCACAGTATTTTCATATAAGTAACACAGACCTTCAGATGCATTTCATTTTAGAAAATTTACATTTCCAGTAGACTAGGACAGAAATCTCCTGTAGTAAGTCACCACAAAGTTAGACAACTATGATTAAGTTAAAGAGCCCTAATGCAATCCCAATCAACCCAAATGATGCCAAAGAGATCAAAACTCTTCAGAAAGTGCTGAAGTTCTCTGAAATGCAACAGAACTGCAACAGGAAGAAGGGATGTAGTTTGATTTCTGAAAGGAAAACATGAATTATTTATACTTTGTTCCATTGCTATCGTACAATCAAGTAGGAATTTTCTGCAATGAATCACCTCATAATGTCTTAAATTACTTTTGATCCAAGGTACATGAAGCATATCTGTACTTTTGCACAGATGAAAAGGAGTGAAGGACCATCAGTTGTTTGCATCATTATTTCACCAGAAAAGAAAATAATGTGCAAGCTAAAAAAATTCAAATAGAAGTAACTTATTCTGTGTATTCCTAAACTGAAATTCAGAGTCATATTATAATTTCTTAAGCTTCTATTTCATAATCTATTCTTGTACATTTACATCCAGAGGTGGACAATGAAATTACAGTCTGTGTTTTTAATAAAGGCTCTTTGGTCCAAGCCACTTTCAAACTGAACAAGAACCTTGGAGTATTTCTTTCATTGGTCTCTTGAGTTCAGGTGTTTGCAGCCAACAGAAACAAGACCCTCCTATCCCACATCTTTCACCCTTCAAGTTATTCCACTGCCCATTCCCAGAAATGTCTGACAACACACGTACCAAAGCGGGCGCCTTTCTCCCCGCATTAAATGGTAGCTACATCTCAGAAGCAAGTTTGTCACGGGAGGAATGTTGTTGTAGACACTCCAGAAATCCTTGAAAAGGAAAAATATTAGTTGCATTAATACAAGAGGGTGTTTCATGCAGATTTATTTCCTTGCTAATTTTTTTTGAAACAATTAAACATCCTTCTCCTGGAGACCAGGCACCTTCTATGTTATAGTAAAATGTTCTGAAAAGAACTTCTTACAGAATCATTTCTACTTTTATTATTTTTAGATGACAGTCCTGCATACCTGAAGGTGGAAAAAAGGGAAGAAGTCCAAACACAGATTATAGTTTTGAATAGGGAGGGAAAAAAATCATCAAAACCAAAGTTACTTTGAGTATGTAAGAACAAACCAGTACATAAAACTTCCTTCGCCTATTAAAAAGATATATCAAACATCCACCTTGCTTCACTTAAGACTAGCCTAAGCGTCATTATGATTATCCTGAGTTACAAAAACACCACAAAAAATAATTCTGGTGAACTAAATGTCTAGCCAGCAACCCAACTAGTTTGTCTGAGTGAAAGGTTTCAACCAGATGCAAAGAACCTGATATGCTTTTTTTATATGTATGTTAATACAGGAATGGGGCAAAAATTCAAAGATTCAGTTTAACAGGAACCATTGGATTACTTCCCAATGTTTCTGCTGGTAAAAGCAGAAGCTGTCAGGCAGGTTTGGGATGGATAAAAATGCACCCAAAAGCAGTAGTGAGCAACAGGGACAAATGATTGAAAAGATCCCAAGCTCTTCTCCCCTTATCCAACAGTTGGGAATAGAAAGGATTTTGAAAGACTTAAGTTGCATCAACATGTGGTGATGCAATATTAATCATTAGTGCAACTCATTAAGTATTATCTAGACATAATATTTAATTATCTAAATACATTAAGTAATACATAATAGTTAATCACTAGCACAACTTTAGAAACAAGGATTGTAACATTATGTGATAAAATTTTGTGGCCCTTGGCAATGCTGCCTAACAGCCATTACCTTTACCCAGCCACAAGAAGACATTAAAGACTACTAAAAATTTAAAAATTTGGTATGAAACACCCATTTAAACTATGACCTTATTCTTAAATTGTTGCGTGCCAAAACCCTAAAGCTACTTGCAGAAGAAGGAGCAGAGATACATGGCTGTGGAAACATTTGAGAGATCTTTTTGTCCTGAACTAGGACATACAGTTTGGAAGGTTTTGTGTTTGGAAATCTCATGCAATGTATGAAGTTGTGCAGACCTTCATGAGAAAGCCTTATTTAAAACTTCAATAGATTGCTGCAGGTGTACTTCTCAAAGAGAAGAGTCTGGCATTACCCTAAAATTTCAGGGATTTAGTGAACTAGTTAGCTTAGCACTAAGGTGAGACAAATACCAATTTGCTACACACTTCATGCTAACTGTAGTATTAAAACAGATACAATTTTACTTGCAAGAGATACCCACTACTAGGCAATGGCAGATGACACAGACATGCAGAATTTCTCACTGCTGCAAGTATCACATGGTTTAAGAGTCTAATTCAGTTTGCTAGAATCTTTTTTTAGATAGACATTTAAGGAGAGAAACCCCACCAAAAAAGAAAAAAAAAAAGCGCCACACACTGCAATTTTTAGTCTTTGCACAGTTAGTTTCTGTATTAGAAAAAGGAGAAAAGGCTGGAAAGGTATTTAAAATACACCAAATATAATTCAGTGTACTAGTGGAAACTCAGGAAGGTTTAAGAATTCAGCATGCCCAATCCAATATGCCTCCTCCTTTTCCCATCCGGAAAGCCAAATGAAATTCAAACACTGACTCAGAAATACAAACACACAACACCAGTAACACTCACGTTTCACACCTCAAGTAAGCAAAGCTACAGGTGTGACTCATCCTAGGAGGAAAAACGAAACTTGAGGTGTGAAGTTACATTAATAACATGTGGCAGCTCCTGTAGCAGAGCCACATGCCTTACCTGCACTGTTTGTACTGTATAAATCTTCTTCAAATTTAATGCACATTCAGCCGCTGTTGTACCAGGAAGTGACCTTGAAGACAAAGCATTGATTAATTAAAATATTTATTTTATCAAGGAGGCAGAGAAAGGAGATGGAATGTGAATTGCATGAGCATGAAGTTAAAATGTTCGCATGTCAAAGGGGAAGTCCAATTCCAAATTATCATGAATAATTTAAAGATAGGAGTTAAAGTTCTTTTATACTTGCGAATAAATTAATATTTGCCAGGTAATTCGTAAAACTTAACAGAAGTATCAGGAGTTTTAGCCGAGCAGCACAGTGCTGCTCTCAGAGCTACCACACACCATCAAAGCTCTGCTGTTCACTGGTGACGGGCTACCAGAAGAGGACCGCATGATCGTACCCCGGAACTATTTTCAATTGCATTTAACACACCCCAACCCCCTTTTTTAGCGTTTTAAGGCGCTCCCGGTGCTTCACACGTTGAAAAGGAAGCTCATCCGCACAGCCTGTGCTGCCGGGCCCTCAGCGCGGGCCGCTAGGTGGCGCAGGCGCACAGCCGGCGGGGCGCGGGCGCGGCCTCGCCTCCCCTCAGCCCCGCACCGCCCTCACCAGGACGGCCACACCCGCCACGAGCTCCTCGCTACCCCTGAAGGATGGGACACCCACACGGGCTGAGAAGCATAAGTGCCGCAGGTCAGGCTATGGCACCCGACGCAGCCAGGGAACCTCCGTGGTTCCAAGCAGATCTTGTACTGCCGACACCGATGCCCTCAAGGCACATGTACCACCAGCACGCCCTGTAAAGCCAAGACAGCCTTGGGCTGGTGTCGCTGCCAGGCACCCTGGTACACCAGGTGTGGTTCAGCTTCTGTAGCTCACCCTCATACTGACCAGCACCAGCTCCACCCAGAGCTGCTTCTCTCTCTCTCGAGGGCCTTCAGGGGAAGCCATAAGAGGAGTAGTTGAGGTCACTCAGTCTGTTCAGCCTGGAGGAGACTGAGGGGAAACCTTGTTGCAGTTTACAAGTTCTTCATGAGGGGAAGTGGAGAGCACTGATCTCTGTGGTGACACTGACCCAAGGGAACGGCTGGAGCTGTGCCAGGGGAGGTTTAGGGATATCAGGAACAGGTTCCCCCAGAGAGCGGTCCGGCACTGACAGGCTCCCCAGGGAATGGGCACAGTCCCATGGATGCCAAGGAGCACATGGACAATGTTCTCAAGCACAGGGCATGACCCTTGGGGATGGTCCTGTGCAGGGCCAGGAGCTGGACTTCATCCTCATGGGTCCCTTCCAACTCAGGATAGTCTGTGATTCTTTAGTCACACACAGCACCAGCTGCATCCCATCATCTGAAAGGCCTTTTCCAACCAAATGGTCCTATTTATAATCTTTTTCATTACTCTTCAGTGCATGAGACATGGGACAGTGCATTCACACCCCCAGACATTCCTGTGTTCCTGTCACTGCACTAACAGTGTATCGTAACACCCACCTTAAAATTCCCAGCACACAATCCCACAGGCACAGTTTTGGGGGAATGAGGTCAAAATTGCTAAGGCACATTCAATTTCTTAGAACTAGAAACATTTCTCTTTCCCTTCAGAAGCTGAAGTAGGATTTCTAAAGAAAAATGAAGATCAAAGACAAAAGCAACCTCCCATTGTGTCTCAGAAGAGGAAACAAAAATGTGTAAAATTACTAAATCTGGAAACAGAAGCAAGAGAGCAGGTTTAAGGAAACAGAAGAAAACGCAGCTGTTGCTTGGGTACCAGCTGAAGAAGGGATAAAAGCAAAGCAGATCTCAGCATCCCTCCCTGATACATCTGATCAGCGTGAAATACGTCCAGGGAAACACTGAAGTTACTCTCAGCTGTTACAGATATAATTGAAGCTCTGGGCAAACCCTAGATATCCATGTAAAGGAAGAAATTTAATATGCAAAACCACTGAAACAGCATCACATCTTCAAAAGTCTAATAATAGCTCTAAGGTTTTTAAAGGCTCCTGTTAAAATAAGCTGCTTTAAAAATACATACAAAACCAGCAGAAAAATACCTCCCAACTTTTTCACTATAAAACAGGCTAAGTAACATCTGCTTTACTATTTGCCTGTTAATTACCAGCATATTACAATGGAGGAACTGGCAGGAGACAAAAAAAATCAACAAGAAATCACCATGGCACAGCTTGTAGTCTGGTGGCTCGTGAACTATGAGAACTCCCATGAAAAAACGGATGACTTAAAACCAGTAACAAAAAAAATCTGTCATCAACATGATAAAAGGAATTATTGTAGTAAGGTTTGGAGGTCTGGAGTTTTTTTGTGTGTGTGTGTTTTGGCATTTTTTATGTACACTTTACACTCAGCATTAAAGAGCAAAAAGGGAAATTCACAGTATTTTAGAGAAACAGATTGGTTTTGAAAGCACAACAAAAAGGTAATAAGTTCAAACAGACTTTAAAACTTACAAAGTGATTTAACTATTGGATTCACAACCAACTACCCCTTGTTCTTTTCTTGCTAACCATACTAGCATCTCTCTACTAACACTTTGTTTCATGTAGAATGGAACACAAAGAGGCAAAACCCAAGGTAAATTTTGCCTCTTTTTGTCTCACCCCACTGCCCAAGAAATTACTTCTCTTCTGGACTATTTCTGCCACTGGTGGCTTAGCAGTCACCAAAGCCTCTGGCATTACATGTGTCGTACAACAGATACTGCCATCACTTGATATCCTGGTGCTGATACTGCCACTGAGTTGCTTCAATAGTAAGGTCTATTCAAATAAAAGACAAAAATGTATTCTCTAGCCATAGCCTTCAAAGGTTACCTAGATCATCATGGTAGCCATTTAGAAAATTTAATGTCATTTAAAATAGCAGCTAAGACAGGTAGAATATACCACTCCAAGGTTATAAAATTATTCATTTTGATATTTGTAAGCAACATTTTCCAGAGAAACTGTGATCAGCTGACAGAAAGCAGCAACCAACCAGCAAATTACCTCTTTTAAAAGTTATGGTGAGTGACCATTTATTCCTGGTAACCTGCCTGGTAAGTGCTCCAGGCCCTCCAGATTACAGTATTATTTTAGCCTTTCATTCAGCTTTGGAAAGCGTCAGTCATTTATGGATATGAGCATGAACACACAAACATTTTTATCTGAAAAACAAACAATCAAACAAAACCAAAATCCTACTGAAAAAATGTATTTGAGAAAATGATGATGCATCAATTTGAAAGTTCAGGATCATTTGCTCCAGAATTTATACCTGCACAAATTTGGTTTAATGAGTATAAGGCAGGAACAGTATTTTAATCTGACAGATAGAAGAAAAAAACCTTTAATTTCCTGCAAAATTCCAGACTGCTGACAAATCTGAACTGTAGTGTTTGTTTCACCCAGAAACTCAGCAAACCACTCAGGAGTTTTGTGCCTTGAAACCCATGAAATTGTGATTTATTTTCTTTTTACTTGAGTACACATTTTAAGTAAAGTTTAAATTAAGTTAGCAGAAATGACAGATGATTTTCAAGTGAAAGAATCTGTAGAAATTCCTATTTGTCTAACTCTCCAGAACTATAAGGTAAGAATAGGGAGATGGCTGTGTACCTCACTAAAACCCTCAGTACACGTGGTACACCAAAACAAGACCCTGCAAATATTGACCCTCAAAATTCCATTGTAGGATTCTTCCCATTCAGATAGTTTTACTGCCATCAACAGTACAATTAATCCAATATGCCCTACTGATCTGTGAGTTACTGCCATGGTGAACAATTTATTTCCAAGAATTCAACAGGCCCTGCCAATCCCCAGGAGCACAGGAACAGGAAGGAGCTGGATCACAGCACCAGCCTGGCAATGACAGATCCTCTGGGGGTGGAAACAGTTGTGCTTCACCTACAATTGTGTATCTGGGTTTCCCATGGAGGGTCTGCATATAAAATATTTCAGTGGTTCTCCTGGTCTGCCTGTTTCATGTCCTGTGACGCCACTGCATCTTCAGAACCTTTATAGGAGAAAATTTAGCGCAGTATCAGGACTAATTGAGTTGCCTAATCAAGCCAGACCCACTGTACAGCATCTCGTGGTGAATCACACGGGAATGTGGAAACAGGAATAATCTCCACAAAACGAATCCTAATGCCAGCTTTCTTTGCTACTCCTTCATTATTCCAGCACGAATAAAGAACAAAGGATACAAAGATAAATTCCATTGTTTTATCCATGAATAAACCTCCAGGTGGTTGCACTTATGTTAATTTCTGATGCTGAACTGTAGCTTTTCTGTTTTTCTGCAAAGAATTAAGTATAGAAGTTGTTTCATATGTGCTCACACTGGCCTTTGTTTCCCAGTGGGGCTCTCATCACAGCTTTAGCGGGAGCTTTAAAAGCTGCCAAGCAATTTTGAAAATACCCCTGTAAGTGCTTAGCCACAACTGCTTTTGGTATAAATAAGCAAAATATTTACTTAAAAAGCATAAAGTCAAAAACATGCTGTGGCAACTAAATAAATCTGGTAATCCATTCTGAATACAAAGACTGATTTCAAGCCATCAAAGCCTGTCAAAATGCACTTACTGGATTGAACATTCTTATAATATTAACCATCATTTTTCATTGTAAGCCACCTACTCATAAGCTGTAATAGATGAAATAGATGATCCTAGATAAATAAATTTTGCTATAGGGAAGAAGGAAAATTATTAAGTTTAGTTTCAAATATCTGATGTGTTCAGCTAGGAAGATTAACACATTATTAAAATGGTTCAGTTATCAAAATGTATCTACTCAGCTCTATATAGAACTCATCTACAACATACAGACAGAAAAATCAGCACATAAGGATAGTAACTTCTGTAAGAATATTTTGTCTTTCCAGAAGAAGACAAATAACCTTTGATAGTTTATACACACATACTTCCCCTCACAAAGATACTGAAGAGTTAAACTATTCTTGCAAGAGAATTAAGATTATCTAAAGGGCATTGTTCGAAGTCAGGCCAGAAAACAGGGCAAGCAGGACATGATCCTGCAAAGCGATGGGAAACTGGGAGGAGACACAGCCAGGACAGCTGACCCCAGCTGACCCAAGGGATATTCCATCTGACATTGTGTTCAGTATATAAAGTGCAAGGAGGAGGAAGGAGGGATGTTTTGAGTGATGGTGTTTGTCTTCCCAAGGCACGTGGGATGGAGCCCTGCTCTCCTGGAGGTGGCTGAACACCTGCCTGCCCATGGGAAGCAGTGAATTAATTCCTTGTTTTGCTTTGCCTGCGTGTGCGGCTTTTGCTTTCCCTATTAAACTGTCATTATCTCAGCCCACGACTTTTCCAGCTTTTACCCTTCCAATTCTCTTCCCAATCCTGCTGGTGAGGGAGCGAGTGAGCGTCTGTGCGGTGCTTCGGTTTTGTCTGGGGTTAAATCACACTGTGTGATACCCAGGCTAAGTGACAATTGGGATTTGCAAAGTTTATTAAATAGGATATTTGCATCATGTCCACATGTACATGAAAAAGTATAATCATCTTCACAGCTTTGTATTTACAGAAATATCACACCCAGATCCACAGCCCCAAATCCCATTAAGGGATGGTTTCAAGGGCATAAGGTGGTTTGTTATCCAGGACAGCCCAGTCTTTGATGGTCATGTCACTTGACTTTTCCTTTTGTGCAATTCCAGTGTTGAATGTGCTACTCAACATAGTGACCAGATTGGCAATGCTCATATTTTATTCGTTATATTCAGTGATGCATATTGACACTTCATTGTAAAAAATAACTGAAAGACTACACAATGTAGCAAAACCTAAGAAGGCAACTTTTCCTTTCAGAGCAGAAGCCACTTCAACCAGAACCAGAGTCTTCCTGAGATAAGCACAAGTATAAAGAGCCACCAGCATGAATCAGCTTCCCAAGGTGGCACCAAAAGCTCCTGCAAGCCTGACTGAAATTCCCTCTGCTCCCTAACATCACTGCAGGCAAAAATCCTACCAATGAGACATGTGAGTATGAACTTGGAAATCTGTAGAATGGACAAAATAAACAGCAGAGCTAAACTCCTGTTTTCCAAACTTTTAGCACTTGACCTTGGAACATTTTAACAGTTAAAAAGGAAATCTCATTTGTCTTAAGAGGAAAACACCTGCCAGCTTCTCTGCACCTTCTTTGGAACTGCTGACCTGCAAGCATTTCAAGATCATAGATATGGTCTTTTTTGTCAAACTGGTGAATAATATTCTCCCACAGCTTTCATCGTGCTCATTTTCCTAAGGCATTCGCAGGGTAAGAGAGCAGAGAGCACCATCAGATGGCTGCTATTTCAGACACGGATACCAAGAAAAGCTTAGCACTAACGGGAAATGCAGATGCCCTCTGACACGTGTGGGATGATGGCAATGAACCAGGACCTGGCCACAGGATGCCAGCCTCCAGATGTTCAGCCTGTGCCAAGGCATTCACTGAAACAAGTGCTGATGTAGATAAAACAAAGACATTTACTTCTAAAGCAGGAGATGGATAGTGCTGCTATGATAAAAGCAAGGCCATGAACCCCAAGCGTAGCACATCACTAGTTGCAGCAGAAAGTACCACTTAGCTGATGGATATTTATTTTAACAGCGTGACTTAATGAAAAGATATGTTTTAGAGATCTTAAAATTGTATGTCATGGATCTCTCTCACAGTAATTTAATAGAAAGAGATAACTATGTATCCATCTCAACATCTATTTATCCTTAAGCGTCACTTCTTCCTGCTTTTCTCTGCAAGTACAGGGTAAAATGCAGCAGCAGTCAGAAATCAATACAATCTCCTGAGGAAACAGCACTGCTCCACACTAGGTGCTACTGAAGTCAGTTCAAAAAGTGCCCACAGTTATCTTCTCCAGGAAGTCCAACAGATGCAAGCCTAAGCCACCATCAAATCTCTGTGGATGTACCAATAAACATCCCAGCCACTTCTGCGGGGCTCTGCAGAGAGATGTCAACTTCCACACACAGCAGTAAATTAAATTAAGATCACGGTTCCATTTCTTGTGTGCTTTTTAATGCCTTAAATGACTTTTGAGTGCATAAAACATATCTTGTTTGCGTTCATTCTTGTTTCCTGTCATTATTCTATCCTTGTTACTGGTAAACAAAAGAGTTTTGTGTATTTATAGTCACAGTTTTTTTTTTTCTTTTACAGACACTTGGATATATAAGTTAAGAAACAACAGTACTAATTAAATGCATTTACATGTGGTCTGAAAAGTCAAAAAAAAAATCTATAGAATAACTGAATTTTAAGAGACTGAAGCATTGTGGAAGTAAGACTTAAGAAAAAAAATGCAAGGACTCAGGAACTCAAAATGGATTTTAACTGCCAACACTGATTATAAAAAATAGACACGTTTATCTCTACATGGCTTATGTAAACAAACAAACAGACCTGGTGGGTGACTTGATTAAACACCAGTTCAAATGATGCTTTTTAAAAACAAAGAAGCAAAAATACAACTTGGATCCCGAACCTGACCATAACTGCGTCACGACTGCAAAAGAAGTAATCAGAAATAATTGACGGCTTTATTAATTAGATTTGATTTGCTGCACCTGAGTTTTCAACAGTTCCTTGTTATTTCTCTATCATGAGTTGGAAAGTTACCAGAAGAATAACTAAAGAGGAGAATTTTACTAATAGCATGGGGCAGTATGTGCAGTGGCAGAAAAACTGATAAACTTGCCTTCTGGGGTGGGGAGAGAGGAGAAATACACCAAAAAATTGAGAAAAGGAAGCTGTAGATTAAATAACAAGATGTTGGAAAATACATGCTAGGAAAATAACATCAAATGCTGGTAAGAAACTTTCAGTTTTGACTTGGGCACTTCTTCCCTATGCCTTGCTGTTTGCACCACAGGGGTGAGCTCCCTTGGCAGCCTCTTTCCACAGCATCAGAGACTCAAACTTCAAGCAGATGAAGTATAATAAGAACCTGCAGGTAATAAATAAATTTTAGCTAATCCTTCAAAACGCATCACTTCGGATTTTAAGAACTGATCACCTGCGGGAGCCAAACCTGATATCAAAGCGTTGTAAGATTCGGCATGTCAGCGGGTCCATCTGGGGCAGCAGGGCTGCGCAAACCACAGCAGCAAAGCACAACCTTTACCCTTCTATTCCCGCGGCTGGCGAGATTCATCTCTAAATTTAGAGCTCAAACCTGAACCGACGGTGCCTGGACCAATGTGTGTCCCTTAAACTACAGATCCGAAAGCGTTTCCAAGCCGGTTTCACTACTCGGAACCGCTGCCGACCCCCTGGATGGGCACAGGCACCGGGGCAGTCCCTCGCACCAGCGCGTTTCCCGCACGCAGCCCAGCATTAACTTCCCGGATCCAATCTTTGGACGAGCGAACCGATAATCCCAGAGATGCGCATCCCTTCCTAGACGGATTCGGGGGGGTTTCCCCAGCTCCCGCAGCCCCCGGCCCCACTCACTTGTCCAGCCAGAAGGTCCATGGCGAGTGCAGCGGCAGCTCGGGGGGGCTGAACGCCATCTCCGCGGCGGGCGGGGGGCGAGGGGCGGGACGGGCCGCGGGGAGGGGACAAGGGAGGGAGGGGGTGAGCGGGACTCGGGCTTGGACGACAGACAGGGGAGGGACAGACAGACGGGGACGAGATGCGACGGGAAGGACAGACGGGAATAGGGCAGGGTGATGACAGAGATGGACGTGGCCAAGGGACCTTTGGAGAGCGCGGGTGGCTCCCCAAAGGGGCACAGGCGCTCGCTCCATCCCCTTACTGCCTCTCCTGCGGGGCACAGCTGAAGGGAATCGCTGATCTTCTTCCCGGGACCTTTACAACAAGCTACGAGGCGTTGGGGCACACGGGGCCCCCAGTGCCACCACCCTGCACCCCTCTCTGCACATACACAGCCCACAGCACAGACCTGACAAATCTCTGGGGCTGCCTTTTTGAGCAAAACAACCTTCGTGCTCAGTTTGGCTTGGCAGTGCTGAGCAAAACACTAAATCTCTCTAGAACTCCAACTTTTAGGACACAAAACCACGTTCACACACGCTGCTGGCAGTCCCTTGTCTGCACATACACAGGTCACACCGCTGACCCAGCGTGTCTCTGGGCTGCCTTACTGAGCAAAATAACCCTTGTGCTCGGTTTGGTTTGGCAATGCTGACCAAAACACTAAATCTTTCCAAAAATCCAAGCTTTAAGACAAAACATTTTCTACATTCACACAATGAAGAGATGGCTACTGTGCAGGCTGACCATGGATGAAGACAATTCAACATCAAAATTTCCACACTTAGGGGATAATAATTTCTCTGTTTTCCCATCTTCTCTACAGCTCATTTAATTTACGTGCTTGGTTTTACAGGGAGATGTTCCTCACAATACAATATGGACATGTGCAAACCCCCTCACATTATTTTTAGAATAGTACTTTTTAAATTAAGATTCTCCCCATTGGGACTGTGCACAGTAGTAAAGTTAAACACCCACATAAGTGATAACAGGATCAAAGACCATGAATCACATAGATTTTTTTGCAAGCACATTTACTAGGATGAATAATTTTATATATACTTCATCCTAAAAGAAAAATCAATAGAGACACACTCCTTTAAAGAAATAAAAATCTAACAGTAAGAAAGGGCAGAGTTCACCCATGAAAAGCACTCTGCACAGTGACAATGAAGAAACACAAAAAGTTAATGATTATGTTGTGCAGATGGAAAATGCAAACTGCTAGTCCAAATTAAATAAGATCTGCAAAACAAGTTGCACCATCTCTTACAATTTAATTTATTCCTCTTTAAATAGAAGGCAAGATAATGACCATTTGGGAGAGCTTGGAATCTAAAAATTCATTGGTATGCCCACTCTGAGCATTTTCTCTCTATTTTAATGATGAGCCCACCAAAAATGTTAATCCTGGAAAAAACCCTACAATAAATGGCTGTATCTAGGCACAAATTTTCTCAGAAGAGCTGGAGAAGACAGGAGGAGAGGAGGAGAGTGCTAATTTCTTATGACCCAAAAGGGCCACATCTTGCCTCTGTGACTGCCAATGACACTCTCCACACCTAGCACATTTTTGGTGTCCTCTGCTGAGGTTGCCAAGAGTATTAAATTTTGGATATGCAGCAGCATCACTCTGGAAATAAGGCCAACTCCAGCAGATTGTATTACAAAAAGTAACTTTGAATCCAGCACCTGCCTCTGATGGAACCACACGCTTCAGTGAAAACCTCCAGATTCCATTAAGAGGGAGCTGCTCATCAGTTAAAACATTACAGCTCATGCTGAAAACAAATCATTCTGTTATAAACAACCTGGGCTGCAAGGAACACTATAGAAATAAAACCCTCACACCTCCGAGACACGGAGTGAGAGCCAGGAGGCACAGCCTGGATCATTATTCCAAATGAGATATGTAAAGCCTCCGTTTATTCCTTATTTACATCAGTAAATACCAGGCTTTGCAGTGGCACAAGGAACGTTGTGGGAATCTCAACTAACAGTAAATTAATTTAGTTGTGGAGGAAGGGCAATCACAGGATGCATCAAATTAATGCATCCTTTGCCTACAGAGACTTCCAAGAAGTCGTGACACAGAGGAAAAAAAAAGAGTCTCCTGAGATGAATCTCACAAGGAAAAATTATCACGAGCACAGCATCCTGATTCTGCTCAGCTACCTCATGCTGCCAGCACACCTTGAGTGAAATCATTTCAGAGATTAAAAATCCCAGGAAGTTATTATCGCTTTCAGAGAGGTATTTATAGGACTTGAATTAAAAATGTATTTTATCGGTGTTTGCTACCTATTTGGAAGGTTTCTTTTTAAGGAAACCCTGGTGATGCCTCCTGTGCTCTTGTACCTTGTCAAGCAGCTTTACCAGAAGCAAACTGTGTTATGGTGCAGCCCTGTGCTACAAGCTGGTGCAGAGATGAGTTGCTTGAAGCTCACCACCCCAGAAGGGACTTGTGGCTTGTGGCTCCATTCCTGACACCTCCTTCCAGCCACATCTTCCTTTCCCTTGCAGGACTCTCCAGGTAAGCTGGTAATTTTTTGCTAAGGCCTCACAAAGCAGGGCTGTGGGGCAGAGAGCAGGAGTCAGCTGGTAGGTTAGCTCAGCTCGTTTCCATTGACTAACAGCTGTAATTTTCCCAGGTAACAACTGGGGAGAAGAAAACCCCAACAAACTGGAATAGGCAATACTGCTCTGCCCCGTATTTGTGCTCCTAGCACTGCTTGTCTGCACCCAGTTTCAGGCACCTGAACCTTTTTACCACACAAAGGCCCAAGTTGCCCCACACTGGGGCAAATTAGAGCTGAAGAAGGCACATTATAGCCAGAAGAAACAATAAATACTTCATACCTCTTTCCATGGTTTTATTACAGATTTAAATCCCTACCCTTATAATCCTTGCTGATCCCAAAATCTTGACAGCAATGGGTACATTACATGTGTTTGAAACATTATTTCACTGTTCTAGTAGGTTTTGCTGTAGTCCCTGCTCTCAGCTGGTGCAGGGAATCCCCCTGCTACAATACAATGGTGTTTTGAGGGGGCAGAATGCCTCTTAAAACCATCAGGACCTTCCTTTCCCCTGCTGACAGTTGTGCACCATCACTGTGGCAACTGCAATGCTTGCATACATAAGAAATATTAGGCAAGCATTAGGCTTATTTTAGCTGTATTCTAATAGTGTAATAGCACCTGGAAGGGAGGAAGGGAACAAGCACCATATGAGCAGTCACAGTGCATTTCCATCCTGGAAGTGTTCCACAGCTGTCTGAAGCGACAGGTACTGCACCTCAAAAAACATCTGAGAGATAACCTGGGTTTGTTCAGTGCTGCTGACAAAAAAATAAATGGTGTGAAACCTTAGCTAGACCTTTCTCCAGCTGAAGATCCTCGTTTTCACTCTGAGGCAGAGCTGGCTGGAACATAAACCTTCCTGGATTTGAGGGATGGCAGGAGCACAAGCCTCGGCTGCTGTGCCCAGCTGCTGCTGATGCTGCTGCCTCACAGCCTGAGCCAACAGCCATGAAATGTAATTTCTCTACCAAATGCTGGTGTCACGATCACTTGCTCTTGAAACACTGCCTGGGACTTCAGAAGCATATTAAGTAACACAGGAGCTGCTTCTGAGAGGTTCCCAGGAAGATAAACTGATCAACTGAGAGCCGAAGCAGAGGTGAGGATGAAGGGATTTTAGTTGATATTTGCTTCCAGAGGCTTAAATAAATGTTTTTTAAACCCTAAAACACAATATTAAAGTGTTGAATCCCAATGCTTTTGGCAAAAGCTCCCTCATCTAGGAATGATTTCATATCAGCCAAGCTGTTAAGCAGAGGTTGTCATGGAAACAAGTTTTATTCAAATGATATGGCCAGAGATATACTGTATTTAGTGAGTTCTTCATTTGCTGCATATTGGGAACATGTCAGAACTAAATGATATTGCATAACTTTGTTTTCTTAAAAACAACCTGGATCACTGCCCCTGGTTTTCTGACAGGCTTGTGTCCAGTCCTGCCTGGGACAGGTTTTCCACACAGTACCTGCTCCACAGGAGAGGCTCCTCAAGCAGCTGGTGCCTGCAAGCTCCCAGAGAAGTCTTCCTTCAAATCCATGAACCTGCCCAAGTCAAACAAGCAGAGGAACCTTTCCTCAGCCTCTCCAACTGGCACAGCCATTTACTAGTCCAAAAAGAAGTGCAGTTCAATCAGATCCTTTCCTCCCTTAGCAAAATTTCCTGCAGATGCATTTTGAAAATCTATAAAATAACAAAAAATCTGTAAAATTACATAAAAGTAAAGCAAATTCATGAGGTGGTGGCCATCTCCTAAGTGTCCTTGTAAACACAGGAATTCTATTAACTTACTCTTGGTGACTGATGGCAGAACAAATCTCAGAAAGGATATGTGCATGCTAAATTTGTACCTCTGCTTTTTTAGCTGTGAAGCTGTTAAAAAGTACAGGAACTTTGTCCACATCGTAGGAGTAAATGTTTGGCTTTTTTAATACAACAAAAAATAAATGGAATAGTTCTTTCTCAAGTTATAAACTAAAATCAAGTCAGCTTTGGCCAGGACACTGTGTAGAAACTTTATCCTGAAGAGTGAAAATAAAAATGAAATACAAAATTGGCTCCAAAATTGCTCTCATGGAAACCACTGTGCAGACTTTATGGAGTAGCATCCAAAGGAAGGTGGTTTAATATATCCCAAGGAACCAAGATTCCTGATTGCCCAATAGAAGATGAGCATTAAGTAAAAGGCAAACAAAAGTAAAACTTTTACCCTTAAAGTTGTTACATAACTGAACATTCTGTAAAATGCTTCATGGGAAGGAGATGGCACCTCATGACCTCCTGTGGAAATGGAACAGGAGCTTGCTAACTTCTGGGACTGGAAATCCTATATTTCTCCAGGCTTTCTAATTACAGCTAATAAGGGGGAAAAAATGGGTCCAATAGCTCTTTTGGTACACTGAAAGCAAATCACAGGATGGAATTCTGCCAGATA